TGTGCATCTTGACTGAATTCTTTTTGATAAGCTAATTTGAGTAATTACTTGTCTAGAAAGAAAGAGTTTTTGAATGTGGTGAACCATTGTATGGATTGGTGGAAGACTGAGTTACATCTTGTTTGCTTGAGGACAAGAAAAGTTCTAAGTTTGGGTTGTGATAACGGTTGAAAAACCGTTATTTTTATACTTAATTTTGATATTGAAAACAACCTTTATGACTTAGAAACTAGCTTGGAATCATATTTTTGCTTAAGTTTTGGAAATAAGAGAGTTGGATAGGTTTTATGCTTGGTTTTCCTTGTTTTGGCAAGAATTAAGATGAATTAGATGAAAGAAGTTGAAGTAGTAATGAGCTGGACTCAGGAAAGGAAATGAAAGTGCACAAAAGAAGAGTCGCATTCACCGGTCAGCGCAACTTTTACCACTGAGCAGCGTTTTGAAGCACCGTAGTCACTGTTGAGGGCCAGAAATGCAGCTGAGCGTCATTCTGAAGAACCGCACTTACCATTGAGTGCCAAAAGTGTCGTTGAGCGCCATTTAATTGGGCTTGGGCCTATTTTTTGTAATTTTTAATAAACTATATAAGGGTTTAGTCGACCTAGAGTTGGTATCTTTGGACAGAAAGAGGCGAAATCACACTTTCTTCACCCCTTGGAGGCGGATTTTGGATGCAGAAACTCCTTTCTTCAAATTCTAGGGTTCTATCTTTCATTCTTTCATTGTTTTCATCTAGTTTCACCATGTGTATGGTGAACTAAACCTCCATTGTTGTTGGGAACCGATGTAATCCTTTGAAACTCTCATGTATTGAATTGGTTCTATATTTTATATGCTTTGCTTCATTAATTGTTAGGGTTTTCCCTCTTTACTCTATGCATCCTTTGTTTAACTCATTCAATTGCATGATCATTGATATTATCTATATGGACACATATAGGTAAATCTAGAACTGGGGAAATTCTCCCAGAAGCAATATTACCTAGACATAGGAATAGGATGATCGGTTGCCTTTAAGCTTCTGTGCGAATGTAATGCATGAATAATTGCTAGGGAGACAAGACATTGTAAACTAGTGATTAGGAGTAGGCTTTCTTCATGGAGACATCAGGTTTAAGGTAAATTAGAAAGTGGCATCAACATTAATGAAGAAAGATGAATTCTTGAATACATGAGAGTGGATAGGATAAATCGGAAACCCCAACAACATTATCATTCCATAGTTTACATCAATCTATTTTGCTTCTTTCAATCCAATTGATGAAAAACTTGCATTCATGTTTATTTTCCGCAATTCAAACACAATGTTTTCGTTTACAAGTCTAATTTAATCCACAAATCACATAATTGTCTAGGTCGTGAGTCCTTTGGGAAACGATACTTGGTCTTACCATTTTATTATTACTTGATACGATTCGGTACACTTGTCGAGTGTTAACAGGGAGTTCTCTGTATGCTTGCTTGTATAGCTTTATCATTATAATGGTCCCATCAACTAAGGTTGTTGAGGGAAGACTTGATATAGGCTTGGCCGAACCAGTATAAATCTTTGTGTTGATCTTTCTTTCCTTCTCTTTTATTGTTGTTCATATACTTGTCAAATTGATTTCAAGAAAACTTAAAGATTATGAAAAGCTTTTGAAAAGAACAATTTTTTAAAGGGCTAACCAATTCACCACCCCCTCCCCCTTCTTTTGGTTAAGATATAAGTCATCATTTTTTCTACAATTCTCATATAAAGGATATATGAATAATACACCAAACTTCTGAAAACATGTAAAAGTTCTTTCTCTTTGAATGAAAGGCAATAGCATAAGGATTCAAAGAATTGTTCTCTCTTCTTCTTCTCTTTAGCGAGTCCTCCATATATAGCCTTCTTTGATAGATAATAGTTATACATAGAGTTGACTTCCATGTAGACTTCATAGCCTTTTTAGGTAGGTAGTCAGACTCAGGTCTACATTGTAGAGTGACTGTGCTTTATTAGAGCTTTCTTCAAAAGTAGCTTGTATGGTTCTTCAAAGCTTAAGGCTTTGAGGAAAGATTCCAAAAATGTCTTCTTATCTCTTAACGTCTTTGTGTTGTCATTATCTGCACAGATAAAAAGAGCAAAACATACAAGCAAAGAAGCACTTTTTCGTACATTCAATAAATGTTATTGCATGTCTAAAATATATTGGCACATGTCAGCTCGTCAAATAAAAACATCGTTTAGTTATGTTTAGCCAAACTTGTATTCATATGATTTATCCTTTTTACTAAATGATATTGCGATTATACACAATGTTATGAGCTCTATAACGTTTAATGTTTTTTATGTATACGATAGACGCACTTGTGATATCAGATGTTCTGATCTCATTTGATGCGTTTAACTGATATTCTAAATGATTCATTTCTTTAGACGCTTTTCTATTTAACACTGTTTGAATATAAAGTCTTAAGCTTCAGTTTTAAGTTAAGCATTTACTAGACGTTTCCATATATCAGATGTTGTTCATTAAATATTGTTTGTTAAACGATATATATATATATATATAAATGTGTGTGTATATACATGTGTGTGTATATATGCATGTGTGTGTATATATGCATGTGTGTGTATATATGCATGTGTGTGTATATATGCATGTGTGTGTATATATATACATGTGTGTGTGTATATACATGTGTGTGTGTGAAAATTTATTTTCACATAACGTTTTGAATGTTTATTTCATTCAACACATATGTTGTTTAACATTATTCTTAGCAAGTACAATCTTTATACGCTTCACTCAATAAACAATATTTTGTTAAGTATTATATGTTAAATTTTGAAATATGAATTACTAGATCGTTTAACTATCTTGTCTTAATATTATCTTATATAAATATATATACATATATATATATATATATATATGTATATTGGAAAACATTATTTTTATAAAATGTTATAAATGCTTGTTTTATTCAACACATATTTTGTTCAACGTTATTCTTGGCAAGGGCAATCTTTATACACTTCACTCAATAAACAATATTTCGTTAAGTATTGAATGTTAAATTTTAAAACATGAATTACTAGACAGTATAACGATCTTGTCTTAACATTACCTTATTTAACTATATCAGTAAATATTGCTAAATCTTTTTGAATCTAGAAAAAATCTTCTCAAATATTTTTGGGTCTCCACAACAATAAATATATCTTGGATATATTGGATTATCTAGAAGATAATTGAGGAGAGTATATTATTCGAAAGAATATTCTAATAACAAAAAAGCCTAAAACAAAGCTCAATCCAATTTCTATATAAAGAGACTTAGGAAAATACATCAAGGGAGTTGAGAAACCCTTTGGGGTGCCTAATTTCATCTTCTCTGCTTTCATGTTTTCCACCCCTCTTCTTCTATTTTTATGTTATTTCTACATTTCATGGAGTGTTAAGCCTCTAAGGTTGACTATGTTGTAATTCCTTAACTAAATTCTAAGGTTAGATGAATATATTTGTTTGTTCTTTTGATATTTGTGATTTATTTTTTTGTCTTTTGCTTCATAATCAAGTAAAAGTAATTATTTTTACATTGCAAAGTTAGCATGGTGTTAAATCTACATAATATATCAATCATATGAGTCCAATGTTTTTAATTTTAATTGAGAATTCACTTTGATTAAAGTTAGAAATTTTCATGTGATTGAATAGATTTTTGCTAATAATTGATAATGTACTTTGATTAAAGGTGAGAACTTTAACATGATTTAACCAATAATGTATTTTAGTTAATTAACTTTTTACTTGATATAAAAGTTTAAAGAAATTATAAAATATATTTAATTGAGAATTTAGGTTGATTAATTTAAAAATCTAAGTTAATAAGAATTTATTAATTTGAAAATGTAAGATAATAATTAACTGAACAATAATAAATTTTATTTTTAAAAAAATCTATTTTCTTTATTATTGTTTTTATCTTTTTAAATCTATTTAAAAATTTATTTCTTTTCTTTTGTTTATTTTAAATTTTTTATTATTTTTATTATTTTTATTATTTTATTTATCTAATTTTTACAAAAACTAATTTGTTAGAAATCAATTTGGTTTAAGATTAATTTTATCTTTATAATTTAATATTAAATTGTTCACGAACAAATACTGCAAAGTATAAGACAAATATTATTTAATTTTGTCTCGTGTATGTTTTACACGTTAAATCTTTGTGTTGAGACCTAAAAGCAAGATCTTCTTGAAAGAAGAAAAAAAAACAAAACTTACAGAACAAACATTAAAATGCTTAATAGGAATACAAATGCTTAAATTCAATGTTAACAGTGTTTACCCAAACTTTTCGCTTATCAAACAAAGTTGTGAAAACATATTTTGATAAAAACATTTGTAGAACGAAAAATTGAGTCTATTATATCAACATTTGTTAAAGTAATTATCAAGTAACCTGTTTAGTTGAAAAGAGCAACAGAAATTTCAAAGAATTACCATTTGTAGCAAGTACGAAATACTACCATTAGTAAAAGATTATTGTTCTGTATATTTAACAAATTTTTAAACTTATCGGTGTAAATTAAGTGTATTCCTTTTAAAAGAACATAAATCTCTAGACCCAAGAAAAACCAACTTTCTATCCACCGAAAAACACAGATGGAAGAAATGAATAGGTCTTTGAACGTGTTCGGCTATAATGGACAAACTATAACTATAAGTGCGAATTTTGACAATGTACACATGTTAAGAAATATCGAAAGTGCCGGGAAAGGGAGGAAATGTAAAGGCATACACATAATAGTATAACTTCTTTTCGTTCTATAAAGAAATGAATTATTATATAAGTGATAAATTTTAATTTGATGAATTTATTAAAAACTATATTGTATCGAAATTAATTAACCTCATTATTTTCAAAGTCACTTATAATTTTTCTTCAAAGAGAGGCATGCAAGAAGACTACATTCACTAAAATACCAAGGTCAAACAAAATAAGCAGGTATAACTAGCAAAACGAAAAGACAAAAACTCGCTCCATAATATAAAAAGGAGTGCAGGAAAAAAGATTTGAAAGATGGGTGGGGGAACTCGAAACTACATTTTTAACCACTCTACAAATCTACCACTGTCACAGGTTTAACACTTGTTTGAACAGTCTTCAATTGTTTGTGCTGTTGATCCATTCTCTTCTACCAGATTCTCCTTTTGTCCTGCTTCACCTGTAGTAGCTGATTCATTAGTCAAGGCTTCATCATGAGACTTGCTAACCTACAATAGCACAAAGGATTTGAAATCAGAGCATAAGAGGCAACCTAAAAAGGCATGAACCTGAATGTAGCTTAGGATCCAACATTTATTAAGTGCATAGTAATAATAAAAAAATCATATGGGAAAAAATTTGCAGGAACATTTCAAATGCCAAAACTTGTTCTTAATATGTGATTTGAAGGTTCGCTTCACCTGTTTTGGAAGCTGTTGTTCCTTAGATTTTCTTTCCTGAATCATTTTTTCACGAGTCTCATAAAAGCCAAAATCATCCAGAATGCACGTCTTGCTCGACTGCTCCTTGAAGATTTTGAGAACTTGAATACCCTTCTGAAACTTAACCTGCATAAGGATATAGATGAGTACAGCGAGTTGAAAGGGGAAGAGATTCAAGGGGATGAAACAAGTTACAGAGTGAATACCTCCTGAGTGTCTCTACTATTGGTAACAGGTTTGTTTTCATTATTTTCTAGAGTAATCTGCCTCAACACACTGTTCGGGATATCCTTTATGATATGCCACTTCACAGAAAAGCAACCAGTCCACCTATCCTGCTGCCAATACTCCACCGTTCTACCAAAATCAACTGGGCTCACCATCTCTGCTAAACCAACAAATTGTCCACTAGTGTTGACCTGCCCACCAAGAAACAGCACGAGGTTTAATAAAATCCATAAAACATAGAATTAATTAAACTAATTGCCATATAAAGTCAGCAACTCACCGAAAATAGCAAAAATACAGGACAGTCACCAGGCTTTTCTTTGGCTTCATGATATGCGGCATCCAGCTTTTTATTGCCATTAAGGGTGCTTGACCAAACATTATATTTTATGCTTTTATGAATATCGTCCTCACTATAAGATTTGATGACAAAGAATTTTGCATCAGAATAGTTCTCAGAAAAATCTTCCCCGTCGTACTGTTTCTTATTAGGAATGAGAAGCAATTTTTTATTATCACTTTTAATTCGAAGATTCTGTCCCTCTGTTAATGGTGTGACAGGTCCAGGACCTTTCATACTTTTATCATCCGAACCATTGCCAGATCTTGGTCCCTTACTTAGCTCACCAAAACCATCCATATTTCTTTTAAAATGATCATTCACACGGCCATTTGCAACTTTAAGCTTGTTATCAACGGACCCCATTCTAAATCCATACGGAGAAGGTCCAATATGAGAATTAGGTCTATATGTGTTTCCATATTGGTTGTACATTGTGTTGCTTGGGTATATCCCATTAATGAATCCATAGAAAGGTTCTAGTCCAGATGAATGTAAGGAACCATAGTTCTGCACCGAAGAATCAGTTTAAGAAAGTTGAGTCCATTTTACTATTGGAAATAATAGTATTGTGCTCAAACCAAAATCAAGCTATCAACCATATGACAAGTTGTATACAAAGAATCATGACGATGTGGCAGGATAATTAAGCAGAAATTATCAGAACATGCATAACCACAAGAATTGTTATACCCATAATCATATATGACAGAAATATGATAAATACCGATTCTAATAATTCAGAATGACATACGACAAACCCAAATAATCAATCATATGATAGATACTGGTTTTGATATTCTATAATAAACCCAAACAAACCCAAATAATATGATAGATACTGGTTTTGATATTCTATAAAGAATGACAAAATAGACAGGAATTCCTTCATGAAATCACCCATGGCCACAGACCAGTGATGAATCCAGAACAGGAATAGGGAGAGATGGAATGAACACTAGTTGCTCTTCTAAGGATTTCAAGAGTTTGACATTTTCACCCGCAAAACCGATCTCTGACTGAACAGATCAGTCTTAATCTTCTACCCCGTCTCCTATGGATTACCTGCAAATTCTGTATTCTAACTAACTAACTCCTTGAACTAACAGAGACCAGAACATTGGGCTTGCCTGCCATAATATGAATAGAAAGTTGGTTGAGGAAAACATATTCTCCTGGAAAAATTTTCAAGGAAGTATTGAAAACAAATGCAAGCTAAAGTTGTAGAGGGCAAAACAAATGCATTTAAATACTTAAATCCTGTCTGAAGCACATAAACAGGATGGGTTGACAGATCAACCATACCATGGACTGTGGAAGTGGCTGAGGAATAGCTGAATTCCGTTGAGAGGATGTTTTCTTGGCAGGCACAGCTGGAGAAGATAATCCAATTTTTGCCCCATCATAGGATTTTTTATCAGAAAATATTAAGGCCTCTGCAGGTAATGCGGGTTGAGTCCCATGAAGAACTACTCTTGGATCCTGATGTCCTGGCAAAGGAGCATATACAGGAAAACCAGCCCTTTGATAAGTAGAATCATTTGAATTCAACAATGAGGGCTTGGAACTTGACAAAAAATCCTTCAACCCATTGTTATGTGTAGAATCTTCGTTGACTACACCAACACTGCTTTCATTATTAATAACACCAGATGAAAGGGTATGTTCATCACTGATTGCAGTTGATATTTTCCCTGGTTGAGCATTGATTTTGTTAGCAGCAAAAGACCCATCAGCAGAAGTTGGAGACTGGTAGTAGGAAGGGTAATGGTACTGTTGCAGCCCATAGAACTTATCATCATGTTGCATGGGTGCTCCATATGGTGTATAACCATAACCTTGATGGTACAAATAAGAAGAGCCATCCCCCCAAACACCCTGTTAATTAATTCATTACACACAAAAGAGAACACTGTTAAACTGTCTCACGTTTAACAATTGAGTAAATCTATATTTTTTTTATTTAAAATATTAAGAAGAAAATCATATACTTACAACAATAAGTGGAAGAAGAAAGATAAGAAACCACACATCTAAGAAAATTAGCAAAAGACAGAAATGATTATGGCTACCTTCCCTAGAGGATAAGAATTATGACACTTGCACCCTCCTTGTTAGGGAAAGTTCAACCACACTACTTACATTATGCCCTTAAAATTTGATTTGTCAATATTGAAGTACCAACCTCAGGGGAGGTACTTATAGTTACCCCAAATGACTTTAAGCTCATCGAAGTGATCAAAACTAAAGCTAAATTACCTAACTATTTTAGGATTGAATATTGACTAGAAAATTACAAATAACTATTTAAAATTTGAACAAAAATGTTTACGCAAAATAATTTAATATCATCTTGATGATATCATGCATGATTTTAGAAAGTAGAAAGCATCCACATTTCATAGTTTGGTGTTGAAGTTAACTATACCGTATAGCAGAAATTAGCCAGCACAAAATGGAACTTAGTCAGAATTCCCTGTTAAAATTATGACAGCTTCGCAAAAGTGCAGTAGTAAACATTATAGGTGGTACTTACTTGCGTCATCCCTCCGTTAAGGTTCATATATCTGGAGTAAGAGTTCCAATCACCTTGCCCATCATAACCTGCAGAGAATCCTATAGTCACCATCAATTTTCTAGAAGGACAAGTTATTCGATCAACAATTTCCACGTCATTCTCTGAAGTTATAACAGCTTACCTTACCTCCATAATAGTAAGCAGTCGATGGATGTCCATTTGGAGTGAAGCTTGCATTCAGGTTAAATGGCTTGGACACCTTAGCTAGGGCGTGCCCACTCTGTATAGAAGCAGACTATAAGAATCTGTTATCACACCACAAATCCAAAGTTTCTAATGTATAGATTCTATAGTAAAAATACACACCTTTGCAGGCTCCGGAACTACAGTGGTCTTGGGCTCAGAGTCCAAGGATAAATTCTGCAGTAAATCTGCAGCTTCTGCATTAAAATGGTAAAGAAAACTCATGATTAAAAAGAAAAGTTTCTCCAACAAACAAAAATAAACTTAAAATTAAAAACAAAAAGGGATAAATTTCATCAGCTCATCACCGGTATCTATAAATCGTCTTACGGAAAGGTTAACTAGATGTCAAATGAACCTCCGTATTTATTTGTTTAAATTACAACAGCGTATACATGTTTTCATAAAATGAAAAAAAAGCCTTTCAAACCATTACTAGCTTCTATGAGATCCACTTGTCATCCAAACAACCTTTACACAAACACAAAAAAAGCAATTCCAGTAACCAAATTTAAAAGGATAAAATATTTCTTTTTCTTCAAAAAAAAACAATGAAAATTTGAGCAGTACAACAAGTAAAAGCACTCTTAAACCCTTCAAATAATTTCCCATAAATGATATTTCTATTAATCTGAACATTAAATTCAAACTATTCACCACTACCAAGGGTATTACAGTCAAATTTCACAAATATTGGACAACAACAACAAAATAATTTTTACTTCCGTAATTCCACACATGCAAGACCTACTTTTGAGCCAATCCACCACACACCAGAGAGAAAGATAGGAATAATTCTACATCACAAACACACTCTAGTCCCAAACACAAACACAGACAACGAACACTTCAAAAGCAACAAACAATAACGAGAGACAGGAGGCATGCACAAAAACAACGCAATTGAATCAGAAAGAGTTTTGCGAGAACAGAAAGAGAGAGTGAAAGAGTATACTTTTGGTGTCAGAGGAAGGAGTGAGGGTTTCCATGATCCAATTGAAGGTGAAGATTATTACGAGAAAGAAGAAGATATGAATATATATGTATAACGAAAAGAGAAGCTTGGAGAAGGGGTCGCCGCAGGCACCGTTTTTGGTTTGGGTTTTTAGTTTCACAATAAGCAAAGCAGCTAACTAGGGTATTTATAAACCTGCTAGTTTTTGGTTGCGTGACTTTTCAAAATTCTAATTCCACCCCGCTTCAATAATTCCAGAAACCTCTCGCTTACCAATTTCTTTATGGTTAAAACTTTTTTTTAATATTGAAATATTCATACATTTTGTTTTTATTTTTTTAAATCATATTTAGACATTTTGTTGAGATATTTTTATATTTTTCTTTCTTATCTGGATTTTTCTTATTATTTTTTTCATCATGATATGTTTTCTTAATATAAGTAAGATACAGATATAGATCCAATATAAAATAAAATTAACAGAACCAAAAATAAAAAAAATAATTATTAGATCAGATGTAAAATCTTCAGAAACAATTACCTACACTTAATATTTCAAAATAAGTCTTATTATTTTTCACAAATATATGTTTAAAATGTACAATATTTGATTTTACTTTTTAAGAATTTAAAATTTTTAACGTTAACATTCATTTCGTTTTATTTTCAGAGTGATTTCTAAATGGACATATGAAAGGAAGAAAATTCATCATGCTAATAATGTCTCTATAATAGATGAAGAATGTTGTATTTCAAATTAAAGAAATTAAGAACAGACAAATTTCTTGGAAGGGATGTGACTCAAGTTGACCGTGTTTTTCATAGAAAACTAAAAACGCATTTTTATCTGTGTAAAGTATTATTTTAAAACGATAAAGTTTTCAATTAATATTCATCAACAAAACATTTTAACTGATAACAAGATTTTAAATATTCATCTTATTCTCTTGTCAGTTTATTTGACTCGTTTATAACATCATTTAATTAATTAAAAATATTAAGTGCGGTACTTAAAGTAATTTAATTTAAGAGTTATTCATTTATTAAGTTATTTCAAGTAATTTAATTTAAGAGTTGTTAACTTATTAAGTTATTTCAAGTAATGTGTAACTTACATAATCTTTATATAAATATTTATCATGTTTTAATATATTTTTTATTATTTTTAAGTTTTTTATTATATTTTTTTAATTTGAGAATAAAAATGTATAAAAATTTTAATATTGAGAAATTTCAATTTTTACATGATTAAAAATATATTTAATTTTTTAATATTTATTTATACATCTTAGTTTTACAACGGCTATTAATGTGTTTAGTTATGTTTAAAAGTTTTTAAGTAGTTCACGTTAAAAATTTCTCAAAATTCAAACAAGTAATGTTTCGTTAGATAATATCATCTAAAACAAATACACATAATGAGAATTGGAAAACATAAGACGAGTTAAAATTGAGAAAAAGAATAAATAAAAATAAATTTGATTAATTTTTGGGTATGAATTTTTTGGGTATGAATTTTTTGGGTAAGAATAAATAAATTAGTGTAGTTCTCTAGGATATGATACCTAGTCTTACAATTTTATATTACTTGATATGATTCAGTACAATTGTCAACATCTTAACAGGAATCAGCTAGGTGTCGAAGAAGATTATCGCACTTTCTTCCGTCAACGTGTCATTTAAGGTTCTTTGGATCTTCTTTAATTGAAAACAATCGTTTCAACCTAGGTATTATAGGCAAACACCACATCGCCTTAGCAGGTGGACACAATTTTAGTGAAGCAAACTCATTTATGTACAAAACATAATCATTAGGACAAACATGTTATTTTAATATTTCATACCCATTGGACAAGTAATGTTTCGTTAGACAATATCATCTAAAACAAATACACATAATGAGAATTAGAAAACAAAACACATTATGTAAGACGAGTTAAAATTGAGAAAAAGAATAAATAAAAATATATTTGATTAATGTTTTATGTGAATTTATAGTTTTTAATAAGTTAATTCCACCAAACATTTTTAATATAATGTATCAAAATTTATAAATTAAAAATTTGTCGAGTTAACTTATCAACTATTAACCGTTAGTACTTAATTTTACAAAACACATTTTTAATGTAGTTTAAGAGTGAAAGTGATTTAAATGAGATGAAGTATGAATATTTTAATTTAAGTAAAAAACTTATAAATTGAAATGGTTAATTATTTTAGTTTCATTTTAGATAAAATGTATCTTTAACACATTTTTTTATACCTTGTGTTTAAATTTAAGAAACTTGTTTATAAAAGAATTGTTCATCTTGCTTAAAAGTTGTTTTAGAGTAACTTTCTCTTTACCCTATTTCAAAATATGGTTTAGGGAAGAGTTGCATGCTTAGAGACTATGATGTTGCATGAGTTCTAGTGCGATCAAAGGAAGGGAAGCTTGAGCAAAATAAGTGAGGTAAAAAAAAGACTATTTATGACTTGAAACCCTAACGAGATATAACAACACAAAACTAAGATAATACAAAGGAATGAATTTAATTGAAACACAACAAACATTAGATGAAAATTCAAATTCAAATGTATGTTTTTCTCTTACATAGAGAGAATGATCTTGAAAGCATTCAAAGAAAGCTCTTATCAACTTGGTAATAACTCTCTCTTAATAGTAAAAACAATTTTAGAATGTAAGTTCAAAAATCATGTCAATAATAGTAAGAATGAGAAAGTTATTTATATTTTAAGTAATTATTTGGTTTAAACACTCGGATGGTCCTCATATTTGTATGGAAATCTCAAGTGGGTCCTCGTATTTGCAACTGTCTCAATTGGGTCCTAATATTTGAAAAATTGAGCCAATTTTGCCTTGTCCGTTAAGTGTTGACAAGCAGCGTTAAAATTTGTTGACGTGGAATTTTTTTTAGATGAACAAATTTTAACGCTGCTTGTCAACACTTAACGCAAGGCAAAATTGGCTCAATTTTTCAAATATTAGGACCCAATTGAGACAGTTGCAAATACGAGGACCCATTTGAGATTCTAATACAAATACGAAGATCATCTGAGGTTTAAATCTAATTATTTTAAATGAATTAAAATTGTGCTTTATTATGTTAATTTCACTTATTCATGAAATTAATGGATTAAAATTTATTTTAACATATTAAAATAAAATAGAGTAGCTTAAAATCTTATGAAGCATAGGAAAAATTAATCTATTAAGGACTGCTTTAACAAATTAAAAACAATCTCACAAAACTACTCATGTTATAAGTAGTCTTACTTAATTACAAAATATATATAATCATTTAAATTAGTTTCTGTAGTCATTCCATACTCAAATGAACGACTTACTTAATATATTAACATCTTTTAATCAATTTAAAACTTCCTATCACCTAAATTTTAAAACAATTTGAAATAGCTTTGTAATAATTATTGAAAGATCAAACGAGGAACTTATATTCAATCCAAATCAACACAAAATGTTCTATAAACACATATAAATCTTTAAGCTTCAAGGTATAGTTAGATTCATCAAATTTAGCTTAACTCCAACAGTACCAATAATAATCACTTTTGGCTAACCCTATAAATTATTCTTTGACACTTAGCCACTCCTAGATAAAAATCATAAGTATTCTCTCAAACCATAGTCACTCCTAATTAACTTAGACAAGAATTCTTTCAAAAACAAACCACTATTGCTTAAACCCCAATTCTTTAAAAACTAAGTCACTCTTCGCTTAACACAACTATTCTTTCAATAAGTCACTCTTATATTAACTCAAGATTTCTTTCAAAAGGCCATTGTTGGCTTAAGACAAATAAAATGTCTTTAAGATCAATAAATAATTGGTTTCACGTTGATAGGCTATCGTTGAAGCTATCAAATTAATACTACTTTTCAAGGCAACTTCAGTATTGCCAAGTAGTAT